AAATAAAACTGTGGTCATAAAATAAATAAAAACTGTTTAATGTAAATGTTTCAAATAAAAAAAAACTGTAAAAATAAATTTGATAAAGTACAAATGAAAATTTAGCCTTTTTAAACTTTTGTAAACAGAAGCTGCTCTTCACATTAGTGACAAACTTTGGTGTTTTTTGATGAGTTACTTTCATTTTTGCTTATATTTTTCATTTAAAATAAGTTTCCATTCTCAGCAGGTTTCTAAGGTTCTTCTTCTACATATTAAAAAGTTGTTAAACATCTGAGTGGTGCACTACTGCTACTAGTGGTGAGAAAGTGTATTGCACCTTATTTAAAATCAATGTGGTCCCACGGCCCTCTGTGGCCCAAAGTTAAAAACTGTTGTTCTTTTGAGGCCCTCAAGGTGGCGCTCATAGCTCATGGGTTAAGAATCTGTTTTAGATCATAACATTTCTTACTTATCCTGAAAGTTTCATCCAATTATCTAAAGAAATAAAGTAGTTCTGTTTGTTTGTTTTTGTTGCAGAATCAAATATTTTGAGTTTTTAATGTTAAACCAAAAGAAAAATTTGAAGGAATTTCTTGGTACTAAAATGGTCCTTATTTCTTCACCAATCAGACAATATTAATCTCTCAGTTGTTTGAAGCTCGATCCATTGCACTTGTAAAAAGAACAATTCATGGACTTTTTTTATGTGTTGTTTCATCCTGAACACCAGGGGAAGAATCTGATTGGCCACCCCCAAATGATTGACAGGTGGGGTGGGGTTTGCATGTGGCATTTTAAAGATGGGCACTTCTAGCTGGGGTACGCCATGGTGGTTGCTCTACGACCACAACAAATCTCAGCTCAGTATTTCTAAAAAAATAGCTGAGTTGTACCCATTTGCAGTTAGCTCTGGCAGCCATCTTGGATTTTGTATTTGAAATTAGTAAAAAATTGTTTCTTGGCTACCACGACACTAATTTGCAGCTGTGTTTGTTTAAAATAGCTAATATCCCTTTTTGAAATTAGCATTATCAGTTATCTGGCTAAAAACATTTTTTGGATCATTTTTAACTAGTCAAACACATTTTTAGCTCAATATTTCTTAAAGCAGCTAAAATAGAGCCGCCATCTTGAATTTTAAGTTATTTTATTTTATTTTTTGTTTTTGAAAATACCTTGGCCACCCCGTGCAAAAATGTCTAGCTCCGCCCCTGCTGAACACAGGTGTTTGACAGGTTTGAAGCAGCTGAAACGTGCAGGACAGGATCAGGGCTGAACACCTGCTCGTCTTCAGGCTCACTTGTTCTCTAACTCCTGGTTCACGTCTCGTCTGCAGAACCGGAGGAGGACGTTCTGGAACGTTCTGTGCCATCTGCAGCATCAACGAGATGATCCAGCAGCAGAACATCGTGGACGTTTTCCACACCGTCAAGACGCTGAGGAACAACAAGACGAACATGGTGGAGACGATGGTGAGGGAACTGAGAACACATCAGCTGCATATAGAATAGAATAGAATAGAATCAACATTTGTTGTTCTGCAGAGGGGAAATTCAGGTGTAACAGCAGCAGCAGGTACATCAATCCACAAAACTATATACTGTATTGCTATACAACATTATCAATAACAGCAATAATAAAATTAAAATATTAAAAATAAATAAAATAAAAATGAAATTAAGATACTGTGCAGAAACACTTGTGACCACATGAAAACAGTAATGACAGACTCCTGCAGTGTTCAGTACTGCCACAGAGAACAGACTTGGTTAATGTTCAAACACATTATTATTGAGTTTGTTGGGAGCAGTGTTGGTTATAGAGTCTAACAGCTGATGGGAGGAAGGATCTGCGGTAACGCTCCTTTGTGCATTTATGCTGCATTTACACCAAACATGTTGCACACCTCCTGACGCTGGTGTCCAGTGAGGACAGACACATTTAGTTTAAACGTAGACGAGTAAGGAGCCCTTTTGTTCTGATTGGGGTGAGAAATTAACCGTTACAAGTTTTGATAACTTACCAGATATGCTGACTTCCTCACTAATCGTCCTCCAGGCAAAGTCCATTTTATTTCTCTCAGGATGAAAACAGACATCGGACTATCAGTTTGTCCTCCATTGTTTGTTTGATCTGATTTCCCGGTTTACGTTATTTTCGGCCCGTCACCAGTTCATCACTGAACAGAGTCTCTCTGATTGGTTGATGCGACACTTCGAGCAGCAAAAGTTAAAATTTTCCAACTTGAGCATCGGACGCTTTGGATGCGCCACATCCACGAACACGTGGGAACTGCTTCGAACCGCACTGCTCAAAACGAACACACTGCTCAGCTTCTAGACGATGTGTGTCCACCATTGACTTAAAGCAGACCCTCCTGATCCGTTTGGTGTGAACGCAGCATCAGGATGCAGCAGTTTGCCTCTGAAGGAGCTCTGCAGATCAGCCACAGATCCATGCAGTGAGTGGGAGACGTTCTGTTACTGATGTTATTTTACGCAGAGCCGACCTCCTTCATGAGCTTATCCAACTAATTTAGTGATTTTTGTCCGGGGAACTCGGCCATTTAACAGACTCTGATGGAACATCAGCTCTAGTTTCATTTTACAAAAACAAGTGAAAAAAACATGATAAAGTTTGTGTCAGGTAGCTCAGAGTCATTGAACATCTCTGTCCTTCCAGGAACAGTACAAGTTCTGCTACGAAGTGGCTCTGGAGGCACTCAACTCCTTCTGAAGAGACGGCAGGCTGGACTTGCTGCTGACGCTGCCCGTCTCCTTCACACTGAGACACTAAGTGCACAAAAATTTAAAAAACTGCTTCGTGTCGACCCGAATTCAACCTGTGAGCTGCCCTGTGTGTATCTGTGTGCCTGTGACAAACACACACCGGTGGTTTTCCTTTGCTTCAGTACGATGATGGACTTTACTCGCTTGTACAAAGAGAAATAATGTTTAAGAAAAGTGAAATGTTTAAAAAAATAAATAAGAGGCCATTTTTTTTCTTTGTTTCCTCTCGGCCGGGCTGTGATGTGACTATTGTACAGTATTTCCTTTTTAGATCTATTCTACACCTTGAATGTTGTTTCCTGCTGGAGGCTGGAAGCACACTGGAACATTTGTACCTTAAACTGTTCTGTTAGCAAAAACTGAGCTGGAACTCTCCGTACAATGAGAAATTACAGAAACGTAGAGCTGCTACATAACATGGAATTAGTTTTAAACTGTTTTCTCGTAATAATGAGAAAACTGTCATTTTTCCAAGAGTTTTCTGAAATTATTTTTAAACTTGATCTCGTTATAACGAGATCAAGTTTAAAAATAATTCATTCATGTGACAGCTCTACGCTTCTGTAAGAAATGAGCTAAAAACAGACAAAGTTTTGGTCTGATTCATTTAAATATTTATTTAAAACAGCACTCAGACAAGATTTGAATTAATGCAAATATGATTTTTGTGTCTGTTTTTTTATATTTTTGACTTAAGTTTAACAAGATTTAGATAAATACTGCAGTCAATTATCTTCCACATCTCAGACTATTTATTTCTGCCATCATAATTTGTTTTAAGGGATTATTAATTAAATTATAATCATCAATCTGGTGAAAATGATTTAGGATTTAGCAGCAGGTTTTCCTTAAAATGTTCATTACCATGAATACTTCTGCTCCTGGATTTTATTTTAGTTTTTGAGAGCAACTAAAACAATTTAAAGTTAAATTTAAAGGATAAAAGATACAGTCTTTAGTGGTGAAAGCCCTCCAGTGTGCCTCCAGATGTTCTGTAAATAAAAACAACCACAGTCAAACAAACAAACACCAACATGAGTCCCAAACATCTTCATTTCCTTTTCTCCATGTCTGAAGATTTGTTTGCAGCTTTTAGGACCATCTTTTGTTTTGGGCCAGAACTCGTGATACTCTGTGGTCCAAATGTAGCTTCAGCTGTTAACAGATGTTGAACCTGGGATCAGATGCATGTTGGACAGCTGTAAATAGACAAAGAGCCAACGTTTTCCCTCGCTATTTTTGCTAAAAACAAGTCGTTCATGTTCAGTAATAAATCAGTTAAGTGTCCTTGATTTGGGTCCGATTCAGGAACCACGTTGGGTTTTAGGGTCAAACCGTCTCTTCCAGATAAAACAGAGAGTCTGGTTTCAAACATGGCCTCTGAGTCAAAACAAGCATTTAAAAATTCACCCGTTTCAGCTCCTGATTTATTTAAACGCTGCAGAAAAGTTGAAGCTAAAAGAATTTTTAAGCTCTGAACAGTTTTTCTATAACGGCCTTTTTTTAAAGAGACGATGTAAAAAAACTAAAGGTTGCATGTGACGACATGCGTTTACTGTGTAAAACCAGTGTCATGCTGTATGAAACCAGTGTCATGCTGTATGAAACCAGTGTCATGCTGTATGAAACCAGTGTCATGCTGTATGAAACCAGTGTCATACTGTATGAAACCAGTGTCATACTGTATGAAACCAGTGTCACACTGTATGAAACCAGTGTCATACTGTATAAAACCAGTGTCATACTGTATGAAACCAGTGTCATACTGTATAAAACCAGTGTCATACTGTATGAAACCAGTGTCATACTGTATGAAACCAGTGTCAAACTGTTCAGTCTGTGTTTACTTTCTGTCGTTGAGTCCTTCAGGCTCGTTGGACCTACTGATACAAAGAGTGACCGTGCTGTGCTGAAGACAATGTGAATGCCACAAATCTTTGTTTTTAATGAGCTTTTATTTATTTTGGGGGCTACGTTCATGGCAATTAACTTGTTTTATATTTTGTTTTTGCCCTATTTATTTTATTTTATAAATCTTAATCAGATTATTTGTTTAGCAAAGTGCTGTTTAGACCTGGTGATGCCATTTTCATTGGTTGTTTAGTTGTTTGAAATGTGGTTAACATTAAATAAAAAAGGGACCAAAATGTTGAATGTGGTTTTCTCTTTGTGTTTAACAACCTGAATGTTTGTCTTAATTTATAACTGAATCACCAACTAAACTAATATTCATGTATTTAGCATGAAAAACAAAAACATGCATGTGGAAAACGTAAATACGATGTTGTGCAGGGCCATTTAGCAGATAAAGAGTAAATCTCCACCAAAATACTGAGAAAAGCAAAGAAATTCTGAGGTTGAAAAGTTGTTAGAATAATTTCAAATATTTTCAAGAAAAAGCTAGGACATCTAATTAAAAAAGCAAAAAAATCCATATTTAAACTTTGTGTTTTCTGAGAAAAGTCTAATTTAGAAGAAAACCACTTTAATTTGAGGAAAAACAGAAAGTTTCCATGAATAGTTAAAAGGTGATTCCACCTAATCTGAATTAATCAGGTAAGCAGAAAAATAATTTTCTAAACTATTTTACAGCCACGTAGTACCATCATGTTTCATCAACTATAACTGGATATTTCAAAATAAAAGCCTATGAGTCATTTGAAAAATTATAATTTATACATGATTATTTTGGATTCTCCAACTGCTTCAGTCATTTCTCTCCATCTGTTCAATTTGTTCATAAAATGCATAAAAAGTGCTGAAATAGACTTGTACTGAGGTTCACAAATCAAATATGTTTCACAAATCATCCACTTGTTTTTAAATATTCTGTAATCTATGTTAAGTAATCTAGTCCAGGTTTGAAGTTTACTTTTTGAACAGAGCAGATTAAAGAGGCTCAAGGTGAAAACAGGTGGAATCACCCTTTAGCCACTTGTGAAAACTGACGGTTTTTTTCTGATAAATTTCTGACAATGTCAGAAAATAGTGACGTGACTAAAGTTGCTGCCAACTAGTGGTCAGAGGCTGAACTACAACATAAAATGAACACCTGGCAGGAAAGTTGACATTTTAAACCTTAATAACAAATCGATACAGGGCTTTAGAATATCGATACAGTATCAGGAAATGAAATATCACGATATGTCAGTATATCGATATTTTCTTACACCCCCAATATATATATATATATATATACACTCTCTCACAAATTTACATTTCATACTCAGAATTTCCTTGATTTTTCTCACACTTTTTAAAATTAAGCATTAAGAGTTTTTTTGCAGAGATTTACTCGTTTTTTATTTTTTCATCTGCAAATTGTTCCTAACACTAATGTACAGGCCCTGTCACCATAATGTTTTAGACAACTTATGCCAACTTATGAAAATTGTAAAGATATCTTACGCTGAAGATGGAATTGAAAAGTCACTTTTAGGCATGTACATACTTTAATGCCAAGAAATTATTTAAATATATAAAACTTATTAGTAATTGAGACATAAAAAATGTAATAAGTTGTCTAAAACATTATAATGAGACAGGGCCTTTAGCTTCAAACAAAACACCATAATAATCTAATTTATCTTTAAAGGCTCTGGGACATGCATTTAAGTCAAAGAAAATATCTTCATATTTAAGAAACCTGGCAAAACACACAATTTGATCGATTTTGTCAAATAACTGGCACTTTGTCTTTTGAACTTGGCTCAAATTGAAACAGGAAGTGACATCATAGGGGAACTCTTAAATACAGGAAACTGCTCTTTGTTTATTAAAACCATATTATTTGAACTGAAAACTTAAATATCTGATTCTTCTCTACAGTCTGTTGGCTGTTGGAACAACACATTCCCCTTTGACATCACTTCCTGTTCCTTCACATGATAATATCTCAACTGTTCATCTCAGCAGCGTGACGTTCAGAAACATCAATGTTATCTTTCAAATAATGCATCCATATTTTATACTAAAATCTGATGTCACTTTAAACATCTGGTCTTAAAGATGTTTGATTCAAATTCTAGTAAAGTTCAAACCAATTTCTTCCACATTTGTGGAATAAAGAAAAAAGTCAGAACACATCAACCAGATATTGGTACCCTTATCCATCCACCTGTAATGTCCGCAGGAGGAGCCACCTGATTTAACGAACAACCTAAATGTGTCAGTCAATAACAACAACACCCACAACAACTCTGCAACACAACCCTGTACAGACAACTAATTCATTCATCATTTGCAACCGTTCACTGCAACTTGGTGCTGAAAGAAACAAAGTGAGTTTGGGTGTCGAAGGTCTGATAAACTTTAGTTTTCAGTTGTAAAATGTGTCAGAGTGGTGCCGAGCAGCAGAACTCGTCAAATCTGTTCCACCTTCTGGAAAAATTCCACTCCATACAACGCTCTGAGTTGATAAAAGTTAAATGTCGCGGACCGGATGACCAAAGTTCGACTGCCAATTGGTTCATTTATCTCTTAAGGCCCAAACCCCAGTTTTCTACTTTAATTATTATAAGTTTTTTAGTTAATCATGTTTTATATCCACAGAAACGTCAGAATCTTTGCTAAAAGCTGGTAAAAACCATTTCTATGAACCTCTACGGCATCAAAACTACAAGCATTTGAAGATAAAACTATGAAAATAAAATTGCTTTAAACATTTGGTAAGTCGGAGATGTCAAAATAATATTTGTGTTAAACAGGAGGCAGAATGTGTTATTTTTTTGTTTTTGATAGTTTTATTATCACTACTTTTATCACACAGAGTTCTGTGTTGTTTTCATGATTAAATGCAGCAAAATAAACTATTTCAAAGGTAACAAATCTTTAATACTTGACTAATTGCTGGATGTTTGGCCCCTGTGTTGTTGGCATGCATTAACTGTGGCCCCTGAAGCAATTTAGTTGAATAGCTCTGGTGTATGGCAAGCCTTTGTGTCATATAATCAGCTTCGTTGGACAAGCTGTAAATATACTGTAGATATCTAAAAATCAGTTTTGAGCAGAAAGAAGTATATTTTCACTATCATGAATGGCAATTTAAGACGTTATGATAAAAATAAAGCTTGAAAAAAATTGTGACTTTTTGAAAAAGGTGCCGTAAAACCATCAATTTTAGGCCGCGACAATCACAAAAGAACTAACAACATCCTGAAGGCAACTACAGCTGTGTTTCCACTGACCATGAAAATGCACAAATTAGAATTTTGAAAAATAAATTTTTGCTCAATGGAAACACGTCAATTTAGAATAAAAATTATGTTTTTCGACAATGTTTTTGCGCTAGGATGAGGTGGTTTTTCGGCCGTATCGAAACTGTTTTTTTCTCACAAAACTGCGATGGAAACACTTTTTTCACATCACAGGAGTCACGTGATCAACAACCGGC